ACCATAAGAATTAAACTGTTAATGGTGAATAGTGTTTCTCACTTTATCATAGGCCTATCCCACTGGTGGGATTCATGCCAACTCCAGAGAAAAGTTAGTCATGTGGTTTTCAGAAGATGAAAGCTTAAGATAAAGACTGAGAGTGTTTGATGCTGGAGCGGGGAGTGGTATTATATAGGTCTTAGCCAAAACATGTGATAGTCACCGAAGGGGTAGCTGAAAAGTGAAGTGTGTGGCTCAATTAATCAGCTCCAGCAGACCTCGTGAGAACCAGAGGAAGCATGCTCCTGGCGGCTTTGTGCTGCCTGCTGTGGAGTTTCCAGACCTCCGCTGGCCACTTCCCTCGAGCCTGTGCCTCCTCCAAGAACCTGATGGAGAAGGAATGCTGCCCGCCGTGGGAGGGTGACGGGAGTCCCTGTGGCCAGCTCTCAGGCAGGGGCTCCTGTCAGGACATCAATCTGTCCAAGGCACCACCTGGACCTCAGTTCCCCTTCACAGGGGTGGATGACCGGGAATCTTGGCCCTCTGTCTTTTATAACAGGACCTGCCAGTGCTTTGACAACTTCATGGGATTCAACTGTGGAAATTGCAAGTTTGGCTTCCGGGGACCCAACTGCAGAGAGAGGCGACTTTTGGTGAGAAGAAACATCTTTGATTTGAGTGTCCCAGAGAAGAACAAATTTCTTGCCTACCTCACGTTAGCCAAACATACCACCAGCCCAGACTACGTCATCCCCACGGGCACCTATGGCCAAATGAATAATGGATCAACACCCATGTTCAGTGACATCAACGTTTATGACCTCTTTGTATGGATGCATTATTATGTGTCAAGGGACACGCTGCTTGGGGGGTCTGAAATCTGGAAAGACATTGATTTTGCTCATGAAGCACCAGGCTTCCTGCCTTGGCATAGACTCTTCTTGTTGCTGTGGGAACAGGAAATCCAGAAGCTGACAGGGGATGAGAACTTCACTATTCCATACTGGGACTGGCGAGATGCAGACAATTGTGAAATTTGTACAGATGAGTATATGGGAGGGCGCGACCCAGCAAACCCTAATTTACTCAGCCCAGCATCCTTCTTCTCCTCTTGGCAGGTAAGGTGGGCGGGACATACTGTCTCCAGCATGAAAGAACCTTAGCAATCGCCTCTTCTGGCAGGTCTTCATAAACCTCCTTTCTCATCTTTCCATCTCCCGCCCAGTATAGAAAATGTCCCCTGTCAAGAGCTCTCAACAAGCCTTCCATTTTTCCTTTATAGCACACTTCACAACTATAGTTACATAGGCATGTGTGTGGTTATTTGTCTACCCTCCTTCACTAAGTCCCTCAACTTTAATGAATAAAAAGTACCTGGTTTATCACCGTGCCTCTCGGCACACAGGATGGTGCCTGGCAAATGGTAAGAGCTGATTAAGTACTTGTTGAATGAATGAATGAATGAATGACTATTTAGATGATTCAATACATAGATGATTTAGGTCAATGTTTCTGAAATTTTCTTCGCCATGAAATTTATGCAGTGTACCAATTAAAAACACAAATTCCTGGTCCTATCACAGAGTCATTGTTCTTCAGAATCTTCAAAAGAAGGTCCTGGGAAGACATTATTTACTAAATATCTCTGGTGATTATTATCATCAGGGAAGTCTGGGGAATATTACTTAGATTAAATCTTCTTTTAAAATTTTAAGAAAAATACCACATGACATCGCTTATCTGTGGAATCTGAAAAAAAGAGACACAAATGAACTTATTTACAAAACAGACATAGCAAACTTATGGTTGCCAGGGGGTGAAGTGTGTGGAAAGTGATAAACTGGGGGTTTGAAATTTGCAGACACTGACTATTATATATAAAATAGTTAAACAGCAACAACAACAAATATGAGGACTCTGAAGTTCAAACAGGTAAATAATTAAAATAGCTAATACTCATTTGAGCAATTAGCAAGTGTGTAGTCCTGTTGTGTTTTTGTACATTAACACATTTATCACTCTTATTAACCTTTCCCCATCTTAAAGATTAAAAAAAAAAGGAAAAAACAACCTGCAATATAAAGGTATCAGGTAACTTCTGCAAAATCACAGAGCTAGTATGTAGCAGAGACAAGATTTGTTCTCAGATGGCCTGGCTGCATGACCACCCTATACTATTTCCAGGGACATGACTGCTATGATGTCTTTAGCCAAAGGATCTGTTCCATTCTGTCTCATTTTTTTCATCAGGCTGCAGAAGAAATGAGCATTTTTCCTAAATATGTGCAAACTTTAGACATACAAGGTAAGGGATTATTATTTTGAAATTTAATTTCTATTTGTCCTATTCTGATTTTTTCACACTGGATTTGGGGCAAAAGGTAACCAAAGACATACACTTTCAATTGTCATTTTAAAACCCTAAGGTGGAAGAAATGCTTTTCTGCCTGTTTTCCAAACATTTCTAATGCATCACTGCTGTCTAGCAGTGCTTAATGGACCTAAGCTCAATATTTAAGTGAGATGGGAGGAATGTGGCATTTTCACCTGGCACTCTGCAAGTTTGAAATGTGAGTGGCTTCCAGCTCACCCCTCCACTAAGTTCACACACCATCCAAATGGACCCTATTGCAGCTCATTGAAAAATAGCCACTGTAATAGCTGGTGTCACTAATGTCAGCTATTTACCAAGAGTAAAGACTATATTTGTGCAAGAAAGGCTGGGAAAAAATATGCTTGAAAAAAAAGATCATTTCCATAGACTTCAGACTTCCTACCTTAATCGAGAAAGTACAAAACTTTAAGTTTGTAATATTTTTTACAAAAATTCATGCTAAGCATGAACTCTCCCACTGAGCTATATCCACCCCCCATGTCTGTACTTTTTTTCTAATCATGTATTGATTGTTGAATGAATTGTTTTTCTTTATGATTGTGTTCAATTTTATTTCTAACTAAAAATTTGGGGGGTCTAGTAGGTAAACACTGGATTGAAATTGTTGCATTAGGTTCATAACTGTTCCATGATTAAACTGTTATGTAGTAACTGGCATTAAAGATAAAACTAAGAAACAGAGTGGACAAAGACCACTGAAGAAAAATGAGCAAACAAGAGTTTAAAAAAGGAAGGTGAAATGAATCGGCATCTGTGCACACCTCCCAGGAGTGGAGTGAGTGGACTCACTGTGCCAGGTCTAGCTGGCTCTTTCCACTCCTTTACACAGCCTCTCTGGTGACAGTCCTTTAATAATGAAGATCAGTTGTTTATATTGATTTAATTCAGCAGTTCCCAGTATCTAAATCAGTTAGGGAACTTAAAAATATTACATGTGTTCTACCCAACTACCCTCTGCCAGAAAATCATATTCGGGGGTCCACTGTGAAGTCCAGGAATCTCTATTTTTAGAACATTCTAGCATGGCTCTAATGCACGGCCAGCAGTGGGAATCACTGATTTAATTAGCAGGGAAATTACCTTGGTATCTCTTTCACTTTACAAACTCAGGTTCTATAGTAAACAGGCCACTAGTTCAAATGCTTTTGCCTGAATTGAACACTCCAATCAAGAACTAGACTATTTTGTGTGCACTGATGAGATCAAACAGCTTCCAGACTTGGTGAGTGTGTTCATATCTTCCAAATTAGTTAGACTCATTAGCCCCTTTGATACAAAGTCTCCCCACCTTGATTTCAGATATATTTTACTTGACACAAAAAATAGAGGTTTTAGAACTCTATAGCACTTATTAACTCTGAGCCAACAGACCCTTAGTGGTGTACGGTGTAGTGCCCACATTTTGTGAAAGAGGATGCTTCTACAAGGTAGCATGATTTGTCCAAGGTCACACAGCTGAGGACTAAAACCCAGTGCCTCTGATTCCAATGCTATCTCAGGTCAACCAGGTTGTTCCCTATTCATAAGGAGGCCTTTACACTCAGAAGGGATCAAATAAGCCACTAATTGATGGATGTAAATTCTGACTCATAGTCACTTTAATTCTCTAAAATTCACTTGCACAGACAACGGGGGTAGATATTCTGATGTGGTCCTTTCCATTCAAGTTGCAATGAAAATATTCCATTGGCATTTATTGGTCTACATCTCTTACTCAGGTAGAATTGACCCTCATCATTTTGCACAGTCATTACCCTTTGTACAGATTTATAAGATAGCACTTCTAACTCTCCAATATACACAATTGTTTTCAAACCTGTCTTTGTCTACCAGACTGCCAGCTGCTCCAACGTAGAAACCGTTTCTACTTTATCTTTATGTCCACAGAGCCCAGGAACATATTATATACATGGAATGGGCTTTATCAGTGCATGCTGAATTGAACAAAATTGAAAATCATAGACATGTTAGCTCCGGTGCTAACATACAAAAAAATGAGACTCTGCATGGCTAAGTAGAAAATTAGACCATACTTTATAGCACTGGATCCTCGAGGCCAAAGACACAATGATGCCAAAATAAGCAGCAACTTACTCAAAGTCTCAAATAAAACATTTTGTGTATTCTCTCTATGCTTGTGTGTGTATATGTTTGTGTGTGTGTGTGTCCGTGCAAAAAAGAGAACAAACAATATAGAAGATCAAGCAAGTTACAACCCGAGTGTCATTTAAGTGAGATTAATATTACCTGTTGGTAAATTTTTTAATTAAACAAAATAATATATTAAAAGTTACATGCTTAATTAATGTCCGTTTTCTTAGAAAGCATATATTCAGAATTCACATCCTTTTTTGTTTATTTGTTCATTTATTTGTTGGTTTGTTTACTGCCAAGAGCTCTTAATAGAAGCATGTTTGTCATCAGTTAAAACAGCCCATTATTTTTGGAGGTGGGGGGTGCTTCATAACATTAAAGTACAAATACCTATGCTCAACACGGTTAGATCCAGTGCTGTGCAAGCAGCAGATAAGCTAGCCATAAAAGAAAAGGTGTATCAAGGGAAGCTGTCATGACAGATCAAAATAAAGAGGAAAAAACATTTCCTAGATGATAGACGTGAGTGCAGTGTGGTCAGGGAATTCACTCATCAGGTGAAAAGCACATCACATGGAGGCAAACTGTGGGAAGAAAAAAAAGTAACATTTCAGCAGAGAGTCATGGGTTTTAGGTAACCATGGCAACAGCTCAGTGAAATAACAGCTTCTTTTTTTTCTTCATGAAAAAGATTCTGTGGAATGTCATATGGTTTACATTTTTTCCCCAGATGAACTTCTAATACCATAATAGAACCTAGCTCCTGAAGCTTTTAATAACTGGTCATTTGTTGCATTTCTTTAAATTTAAGAGAACAACTATCTATGTTCACCTTCTCCATGAACACTTCTGTTTCTTCTTTCTGTCTCCTTTTTTTTTTTCATTTGACTTGGGACACTTGATTTCCACACCCCCACATCGTGCTTTATAAATCACCTGTGTTGAAACAGAAAAAGAACAAACTTCTCATTAGAAAACTTCTGCCACTTAATGGATTCTACCTCTGTCACTTAACCAGATGATGATGGATATGCTATTTAAAATCTAAAAACCTTTGCTTTTTCCCTTAACAGAAATTATCCAGTTATCATATGTATGCATTTTCTGTATCCATGAAAATACTAAATGGAATGGAAAGCAGAATAGTGCAGTGGAAAGGGTAAAGTCTTTTGAGTCATGAAAACATGAGTTAAAGTGGACTTTTGTAACTTACATATAAGATCCTGGACAAGTTACTTAAATATTTCGAGACCTTTTTTCTTTAAAATTAGGGTAATATATCTTAAAGCACTATTATGAAGGGCTTCAATGAAATCTGTTAATACAACATGACTAATTTAGTATCTGACATATTCTTTGAGTTTCCTGTATGGAAACTATTATCATAATAGATCTTGATATACCAATGTTAGTTATTATAATAATGATGATTAACCCAGTGCTACAGAGCCACAGTTAACAATTTGGTGGCTTGCCCAATAGTCTCATATTCAATAATAATATAACAGCTGTCACTATTAAACATCCATACTTGGCACTACAGACTAAGTGCTTTACATAGGCAAAATTATTCAATCCTTCACAAAAAGTTGTTATAGTCCCCATTTACAGATGACAAACCTTGATCCTCAGAGAGCTTAAGTAATTTGCCCAAGGTCACGTAGCTAATAAAGAGTCATTATTGGAAACCACGTCTGACTGCCATCGCCGTGATCATAACCACAGTGCTAACCATTTCTCCTACCCTGCCTCCCCTCCTGTATCAAATATAAAGACAATGATTTGAGATTAAGTGTTCCATATTACTTCTGGAAGTGGGGTAGACTTCCTCCTTGTTGCTAATACGTGCAGTCATCTGAACACGTAGTCACTTGGCAGTTCTCATTTCAGCAAAAATAGTTCCATTCAGACCTCTCTAATTAAACCGAGTCTGCTGTAGGAGTCTTTTAGACAGTAGGCCCTTTTGAAAACATCCTGAGATGGTTTATTATTCAAACAGGAATGAAAGTGATTCCGTCTATGTACCCGCTGTGATGTCTAGTTAATCGACATCATAAAGGAGTCCAATATATTACGTTCGATGCAAAAAAGTTCGGTTAGCTTTATTCAGCCATTCCTAAGCCATGCACAGGCAGTCATAAATGTACTGCATGTAGCTTCGGAATCAGGAGGACTGAGAAGTAATGGTCCACCCCTGACTCGACAAGGCCTATGGAATTTAGTTTACTTTCCTAAGTGGTAGATGCAAGACTCGGACTCCGTTCTGGATTTTAACTTTCATGGCTTATTCTGCAACTCTCAGAAAGCTGCTTCCTCCAACAATTTACTTTAAAACGTTAATCTCCTGGTGATTAGAGACCCAAATACGGTCATCAGGAATGCCCACCTCCTTACCTTCCCCCCTGACCTGGAGGAGGAGACAGCACTGCTTTAACACAGAGGTGTTTTCGCGCAGATCATCTGCAGCCGGCTGGAGGAGTACAACCGCCGGCAGTCTCTGTGCGACGGCGCGTCCGAGGGGCCCTTACTGCGCAATCCCGGGAACCACGACCGAGCGCGGACCCCGCGGCTCCCCTCCTCGGCTGACGTGGAGTTCTGCCTGAGTCTGACCCAGTATGATTCGGGCGCCATGGATAAAGCCGCCAATTTCAGCTTTAGAAACACCCTGGAAGGTAATCTCTTTCTTCATTCATTTAAATTTTCCTTTCCTTTCCTTTCCTTTCCTCTCCTTTCCCTCTCCTTTTCCTCTCCTTTTCCTCTCCTCTCCTCTCCTTTCCTTTCCTTTCCTTTCCTTTCCTTTCCTTTCCTTTCCTTTCCTTTCCTTTCCTTTCCTTTCCTTTCCTTTCTCTTGAATTCACGCTTATAATCTCTTATCCAAAACCCTGGGCAGGTGGCATAGATACATCTATAGCCAATAACCCTAGCGGGGTGTGGGCGGCACGCGTAACGCAAAGCATGGCTAGCTCCGCCGCGGAGCGAATGAGGGTACCCACCACGGCAAAGAACAGAAACGGTAAGCGGCCAAGTGGAGAATAAAGTCGGGTTTTTCCACTAAAAATGTATTGGTGCCAAACAAAATAATACATTTTCAGACCTTTTTCTATTTGGGAATTATAGATTTAGGACTGTGGACCTAGCATACTTGTCTACGTTTTAGTATTTGTCTAGTTTAAAATATTCTGGACGCTAGCCTCTTTGAGACAAGTCCATTATTATTCAGGATAAACGCCATATGTCAGGTTGAGGCCCCATTTGTTATCCCTCAGAATGTCTGTGCTTCGGCAGACTTCTTTGTCCAAAGACAAAGATCGAGAGCATGTTTCGCTCCCTGGAGAGACACGTTTTATCTCAAAACTAGGATGGGGTGGAGCTATGGAATGTCTTGGCATACAAGGGACGCTCAGGTGAATACAGCCACCGGAGGGCAGGACTGGAGAATCAGAAGCGCAGGCAAGCGCTGTGCTCTGCTGTCTCAGTAAATGCAGGTGGATTGAATTGCTGGGTTTTTTCCCCTATTTTATTTATTTATTTGTTTGTTTGTTTATTTATTTATTCATTCATTCATTCATTTAAATTGAAGTATAGTTGGTTTACAATGTGTTAGTTTCTGCGGTACAGCATAGTGATTTATTTGTACATATATATATATTCCTTTTCATATTCTTTTTCATTATAAGCTATCATAAGATACTGAATATAGTTCCCCTATACAGCAGGACCTTGCTGTTTATCTGTTTTATAGCTCAGTGATAGAGCATGTGCCTAGCATGCATGAGGTCCTGGGTTCAATCCCTAGGACCTCCATTAAAAATCAATAAATAAATTATGTGAATTGTTGGTTGTGATTGAACCTCACAGTTATCGCTGCCCTTTTTTTCTTTTGGGTCTTGTGAGAGTTATGTAAATGTACTTCCCATAGAACGAACTCCCACAGCCAGTCCTGGGATGGAAGAACTGTTGCATTTTTGTCTACTGAAGTCATTTATGTAACCTCAGCTTTCCTCTTAGACTCAAATGCTGAAGTAAAGACTTGTGCGATTTGTGGGTTACCTGAAAGAGACTCGTATTCTCAGATAAAGCAAAGAAAATTTAGTAGACATTGTAAAAGGTAGTCTTCTGATGGGGCTAAATAGGTGGTCCCTGTGGAGTACGGACTGTTAGACTCAGTGAAGAATCTTCTCCTGTGTAAATCTCTGACTACCCATGGTGTCCTGTATTTCACAGTGTATGATAGTGCTAATGCAAAATTAGTAATGATATGTATATTGGGGGATGGGGGTGGGCTAGAGGTTTAGTGAAGTGGTTAAAGGCAGTCAACCAGACTGGGATTTGATCTAAACGCTACCATTTCTTAATCTGTTACCTCGGGTAAGCTATTTAACTTCTTTGGGCCTTAATTTCGTCCTCTGTGAAACGTAGATAAGAGTAATAACTTATAGGGCTCATGTAAGGATTAAATAATATAATACTTATAAGAAACATGTAACATTTTTCAGTAAGTGGCAGCTATTACTATGTTAAACTGGAATTAGTTTTTGACAACTCAGTTATCAGTCATTAATTTTTCTGACAATTAGCTTAGGAACTAAGTATAGACTGAGTCCTGAGAAAATAGATTGTGAGGTACTAAGGTTTAGAGAAAAATATAGGAAGGAGGAAGAATAGAAAAGGAAAATTTCTTAAGGTAGACCTAGAGGGAGAACATTTCTGGAGATAAAAGCTACTGCTTTTCAGGGAGAATTCCCAAAAGCAAGGAGACAAGAGCAGAGACAGCTCCTGTTACCCTAAATGGAAGAAGGTGCAGGAACAAAGAGCATCTCTAACTTAATGGAATGCTCCCAGTCCCAAGCACAGTGCAGCTTAGGACCGTGGAACTCACAGTTGGAAGACACTTCTCAGTGTCCTCAGTTCAACATCCCACACTTTGCTGAAGTGCCTGCTATGGTAGTGTCTCTATGTAGTCACCCAAAGACAGAGATCAACCTGCTTCACAAGGGAGACAGGAAGTTCTTTAGGTTAAGATGAAATCTAATTGCATTCAACTTAGAGAGCTCTCCGTGAACCTGGTACTCTGAGAAATTATGGAAGTACAAAGACATACAAAGATGACTGTACACAGTTTCTGACCTCAAGGAGCTCACCATTTAGGGGAGCATCATTCATCCAGAAAAAACATCACACAAACACATAAGGAAAACACAGTATGAAGGTCAGAATAAAATGAGATAAGATCCAAGATCTAAACCAGACGTATCTCCCAAGGTGGTAAAAATGGAACTGCATCTCGAAACATCAATAATCTCTCACCAAGAAGAGCAGAGAAGGAAAGGCATCTCCAGCAGAGAACAACATGTGCAGTGGAATAGAAGTATGAAAGTGTAAGTTTAGATAAAAGAAATTACAAAAAGAAATGAGAAGTTGTATATGGCTAGAATATCAAGTTTGTAGTGGTAAATAACAGAGGTTTAGAGAGTTTAGATTATACCATGAATGCCAGTGTTTCTGCGTCTTCTCTGGAGTAAATAAAAAAAAAGCGTAGGCTCCTAGGAATATGTTCATAGAGCCCTAGGAAATTAAGAAACTGAAGTTTACTCTTTGTAAATGTCATTCATATCTTCCCCGTAAAAGAGATAAGTTTGAAGACCCATTGTTTAAAAATCATGATATAATGTTCATATCTTCAAGAACATGTTGAAATACCTTTGGTGAAACACTGCTGTAGACACTGGGAGTCAAGAGAGGGTTTTTTAAGCAGGAAATTGACATGATTCTATCTGTATTTCAGAAAGATGTAAAACTAGTGCCCTCAGCAGAATGCAGAAAGACTAACCAGTGAGCTGCTGGGAGGATGCTGAATGGGGAGGGCTTCATCCAAGGCAGGGAGAATGAGATGAAATGAGTTGGTTAGAGAACAGAAACTCTTGTGTATTCTACAGTATGGAGTATCAGAAATACTTGGTGACTAAATATGAGACAGAAGGGTAACATTGAAGATGATTATGAAACATCTACCACTGACATTTAATAATTGGTCCTTATTTTGTTCTCAAACTATACACCACTAAAAAATCTAGTTTATCCTTATCCTCCTAGTATGATTCTCTAGAACCTTTTTTCCTGCTGCACTTCCACCCTTTCTATTTTATTATGACTACCTACAACTTCACTGGGAAGTATCTTACCTCTTTATTTGCTAGAATTTCTCAAGGAGCTGTCTAGGAAATGGTAAAGGAGCTCTAGGCTTTAATGAAAGGTAATGAAGGTTTTGGAATTTTGCATGAAGTCTTAAGATGATAATGTGCATACTGGAAGAGAAAGGCCAGTGGCCAGTCACCGTGAAGTCTCAAAGGATGATTTAGTTTCCAATCTCGCTGCCTGTGCAGTGGACTTTCTTAGCATATCCAGAAATGATCACACAAACTGAAGAACTAAATTAAATTAAGACTTGTGTAAACCAGAATGCCAAGGAAGTTATTTAAGTGGGGTGAGACATTCTAATGATTGGGAAGGCTCAGGCCTTCCCCCACGCATCTTCTTTAGCAATTCTTAGGGAATCAGAAAGCTGAGTAGCCTGGTACAGATTGGGGTACACTGACTCAGAGTGAGGTGGAGGGTTCTGAGAAAGGGTTCAGCCAGCCCAGGAAAACCTTTGTGAGCCTGGGTTACTGAACCCCCCGGAATTACCCCCTTGCCAGCCTTGTTGGTAGTCTGAACACGCAATGATCCTGACCGTAAAAATAACAATAAAAATCCCTATGTCTCAAACATTCTCATTTCCCGCATGTTCTATTATTTAATCCTCACAACAATCCTGTGATGTTTAACAATCCTGTGATGTTTAACATTCACCGATTAAGCGAAGGCACCATCTTCAGTTACGTAGTTATTCCAAAGAGTTTAGGAGACAGTCTTTCTCCTTCTACTTAAAGGAGCTGGTTCAGCTTATCTGACTTGAAGAATACCCTTTTTGCTCTTTGCTCCGAGTTCTCAGGGCAAATAGGACCCTACCTTTTACATGTAAGAAATTCAGACAAGCGTCCTGCCTGTTACTTTCCAAGTGGGTTTGCTTTGAATTATGATTCTTTTATCAGGAGATAATGTTACCTTTTTAAAAAGTCTGAAGTAATAGGGAGTGCTGGATTATGGAGAGGGCTTTGTGGACATGTAAGCTTGTTTTTAAGAATTCTAAGGCAGAGGCTGCTCTCAGGGAAGAGTTAATACTTATATATTATGTTCACAAGAAACAAGTCAAGCATAATTCCTATCCATACAAATGTATGCCTTTTAAATCCTTAATCAGTGCTTTGCTTTCCAAAGCTGAAGAAGGATGGCAAGACCAGACTATATTCATCTTATCTGGCCACTAGAAATTCTCTAGTCAGGATGTGGTGAGAATCTGCTAGAAACTATGGATGTTGGAGCATTAGGGAGCACTTTAATTTTGCAAAGACAATCTTTTTTAGACTGACTGGCCTTGTGCAGACATCTCGGTGGTAGAAGCTCACAGTTTTCTTTTTTTTTCCAGAAAAAAAAAAAAACTCTTAAAAACAGTATAAGTAGTTTAAAGTTTGGGGATATTACTGCTTGATACTCAGTAAACTCTTAGCAACAAATGTGATCATGATATAACCTGGAGCTCTCTCTGTTAAAAAAAAATGGAGTGTCAGTCCCC